TTTAAGCACAGACAAAAATGATCATTTGATTATAAGTTCTAACCTTAGTCTCCACTTTTCACATGCTTCCTGAGCTGCAGCTGTTTCAGCGGATGGAGAACCAGATTCTTGCTTTATCTCCTTTTCCTTACAGACCCCAGAATTATCTCCATATTTATGTTGTGGGATAGACAAGTCTATTTTTTGAGAACGTCTAGGTGACATAAGTACTGAAGCACCAGGATACGGAAAAAAATTTGCAGAGGATGATGCATATGGAACCTTAACATTTGGAACCATAACATTGGTATCCTGACCTTCCTTTACCAAATTTTTCTTTTTGTGGAGGCGTTTTGATGCAGATAATTGACTTTGAGCAGCAGAAGAGGCAGCAAAGGTAAAGTTAGACCGAGTTCTATCTTCCGAAGTTGAAGGAAAGCCAAAGTGTATCCTGGCATCAATATCATGTCTTTCCATGTTTGAGCTCGAACTGGCTTCAGTTTCTGCTGCGGTAAGGGAGTTATCCCCACTAAAGTCTACCTCCTCAGCAGCAGACTTAAAGCTTTCAGTTTCAACCTCAGAAACGGATCCTTCAAGGGTGCCTTCAACATCAACACTTCCATCCAAACCGTACTCAAAAGTGTCCGCTCTTGTTTCTCTGCTTGTTGCATCAACTTCATTTATATCCAGACGTCCTGTTGCCATAGCCAGATCTTCATCAATAGGATCATTTGAAACTGTTGGTACTGAATCAGCTGCCGAATGGTTGTTGAGTATACTAAATGACTCACCAGATGCCACAGAATTTTCTTTTGCACACTGGTTATCAGCTAATGTTTCTTGATACGGGGAAACGTCCATTGGTGAATAGGATGCAGAGGCCTCAACATTTTCCTGAGAACTGCCTTCCCTTGAAACAAAATCATGCCTAGGGCCCAGATGGGCTGAGCTAGAACGTCTTGGTTTTCCGGTTGTTTTTTTCTTTCTAGTGTCCCTAAATGATTCCCTCCTTGCGTCGGATTCTAGTTTCTTATTTATGCCAGAAAACAGGTTTGCTTTGGGATTTGGTGTTTTAAATTCTACAGAGTGTCCGCCTAAACCATCTTGCTTGCTTGTAAAGTAAAACTCATCCCTCTTCTCAGGTCTGTCAACAGCAGGCATTTCAGAAGTGCCTCCAACTGGTTCAAAATGAATGCCACCAGATGGAGTGGTTCCGCATGATTTGGCCTCATCTTTTGGTTGGTCTGACGAAAAATAACACACAACTGCCTTGCTGGACTGCATGGCCACGTG